ATAAATCGGCTATAATAGTTCAGACTTCCCAGAAATGATTACATAGCTCTGAGTGACTTTGGAAAGGCTAGATCAGTCAGTGCAGATAAATCTTTTGGATTCGCCTCCAGTCCATTGTGCGAGAACTTATGCCCAAGGTATTCCACCTTGGACATCCCCCAGAAACTTTTGACCACACTGATCGACAGATTCCACTTATCACATGCTTCGAGCAACCCCTCGACTCGGTCACATAGTTGATCCCAGTTATTGGCGGGGATCAGGATGTCATCGATATATGATCTGCGACCAAGCACCGATGGCTTGCCTGGATCCACCGGTTCCCCGTCCTCAAATCCAAAGTACTTTCGTGATCTTCAGCCTTCGGGATCCTGGTGAACCCATATAGCGCGTTGTCGATCATACGTTGATAGATCTGGGGCGCATTCTTCAAGCCGAAGGGCATTCGGTTCCATTCAAATAACCCAAAAAAGGAGTGATAAAGGCCGAGATCAAACGAGCGCGATCCGTCGTTTTCACTACCCAAAATCCACTCGCCATATCCAAAGAACAATACCAAAGTGTCGACTCCAGATCTTCGAGTAGATCGCTGATCAAGGGCATTGGGTATACCATCAGTTGTGTCAGGCTATTAACCAGCCGATAATCGATACATAGTCTGATATCCACTCCATTCTTCTTAATGATCACCACGATGGGGGAAGCCCATGGTGATCTGGAGTAGTTGATCATCTTGGCAGATAATAGACCCAGGTCTGCTAGCTTTTCCCTGAACTGGATCCGCAACTTACGACATTTGAGGGCGATGGGTCTTGCTCATCCGACGTCGATATCGCACACAACACCTCTGGCCGCAGGCGGGAGGGCATTTCCTTTGCTGATCAAGAGGTGTCGGAACTTCCAGATCCTTCGGCGGAGTCGATCAATTTCTTCTGGGGTCTGATCATCAGATCCACCTAGCTGGATGTCTTCGATTTTCACATCTTCCGTCGCCACAGGTCATTCTGGCAATACCGCCATCTGACCATCGACATCTTCGGTATATAGATCGCTTCCTTCATGATAATACACGCATTCGTCGTAATCTTGATCTGAGTCCCAGGTAAGATC